AAATTAATTGCAAACCTCTCACATGGAACTCTCATATGAATGTAGTTGGACCACTGTAAAATGTTCTCTACAAAAATATAAACAAAATGCTATCGCCACTATAACGTACCCAAATTTTCTTGAAATAAATTAGAGTAAAAGTTGGGCATAGATAAACCCAAAGTCCATCAAGGACAAAACATTTTAGCCAAAGGTGTTTTCTTACCAGGGAAAAAATACACAAGAAGGACAGTTTTCTAAAGCACTGAGAATACTATTGGCATCTACCACTTTTCTCCCTATAAAGTACTTGAAAAAAAGTTTTTGATACTTTTACAAAAAATTACAAGGAAATCTTAGTAGAAAAAATTCTAAAGAAGAATAGCGTAGGGGTCAAAATTACTGTCGAAATACTTTCCCAAAATTAAGTCACCATACCAAAAATTACCAGGTAAAACTTGCCAGTACAATAAAATAGGTCATGCTTAAGAGCAACAGAAGACACTACATCTGCAGTTTTAAACACATCACTTACTGCTTTGACTCATGGTGACAAACCTCCAGTGTTGGATCATTATAGATGAAAGCTGCTTCTAAATCGTTGACTCTTACTCTGTAAATCCGGCACTGTTTACTGTTCAGTTTGATTCTATTCAGGTTTGCAACTGTGGGAAATATTGTCAGTTCCACATAACCCTATGAAAACACAAATCAAAACCTTCTATAAAATCTTTACCAACTCACAAAGTAGAGATATATTAAAAAAATTCTTATTAATGCATTTCAAAGGAAAATCATAGGGAAAAAAAAAAAGTTAATTTTTTATTTAAAAAGGAAAATTGGTTTGCCTTTTGAGATGTCTGGAATATATTTTCTTTCACACCATTTAACAGGCAAAGTTTCCCAGCTGTGAAATAAAACCAAACAAAGCAAAAAACTTCAACATGACTAATAATCATGTTTGTTTTACTGGAAGTGATCTGCGTTTGTTGATTAGATTTCAAGTTACTAGCATCACTATGTTTTTCACCTCTATGTTTCAGGTTTTGGTAGCTGAACTTGAGACAACAGTTTTTAAAACATAAGCACAATCCATTTAGGCAGATATCTAAATTCACAAAAAGCCTGAATGACTTCAGGCCTGAAACTGTGAAGGTCTCTTCAAACACCCAGTGAACTCACATTTAAGCAAGAAAACTCTATAACCCTATGCCTAACATCAGCTAGCATTTTACTGAACATCATTGCATTGCAAATTGCTTTGTAAAATTATTTAAAATGCAGTGACCTTCTTTTAGAAAGCTTTTCCTTATGAAGATTAAAGTGTTCACAATTAGAAGATACTGTATTTGATGCATCTCAGGGAATGACAGACTTGTAAGAGGCATCAGATTATAAAGTATAAAATATAAAGAAGCTGAACAACATAATTAGCTAGTATGTACAGTTTTTTCCTCTCAAATCATGAAAAGAACCCAGACTCTGAATTTCTACTTTCATATTTTATTAAAAAATACTTACTACAACAGATTTTCTCTGAAAATTTATGTTGTTGATACAAACTACCTGGTGAGTTGTGCTGGAAAAAAAAAATAATAATTTAAAATAAGTAAGGTTTTGCACAAATGCCAGCATTTAAAGTAATATTTTAACTCAGTTTAAAAAAAAAAACAACAGAGAGCTTAGACAGGATGTATGTACATATAGATAACTACTGCATATCGCATAAGAATTCATGATCATCTACATCTCTTACATGGTCCAAAGTAAATAACGAATAGAAGTTGCAGACAAGGTCAGAAAAGGTCCAGTAAAATCAAATATAGCATCATACCAGTATATTACTAGTAATACAGGAAGATAACACTGCTTTTGAACAACACATAACAGTATGTAAAAATATAGTATTACTAATGATATAGAATCAAGTTTAGTGATGTGCAGTATTAGAAACAGCATGCAGCCGTAATATTTGCAATCAAAGACCTGTGGAAAATGTATGTGCTGAGTTGACTCTCATACATAATTTATGCATGCAAGTGCTATACAAGAAAAAAGATATAGTATATGCTTTTACAATTAGTGTATCATAAGAATTTATTATTTTAAATAATGGTTATATATTCATCAAGATAGGTATTTTAAACAAGCCAAATCCATTTGCTTAAATTTTGAGTGACTTGTTAGAACTCCTGGTAAAAAACCTCTCTGATTTAAAAAATAGGAGATAAAATAATAATTCCAACTTTTTTAAAACTCTGGAAGTTACTTCTAAATTTTTCTGTAGTACGTGGCATCTTCACCCACTTTACAGTAGTGCTATTTACGACTCAAGATACAACCTTGTAGTAATTCAACCTTCATGCCACAGCGCACGTGAGATGCACGTACTTATGTGCCCTGTGCATTAAAAAGTTACTTCGCTTCAGTTGAGCAAGTTCAGTAAAATTCCCTACAAGAGAATGATAAAATCTAGCATCCAGTGAAGGATTCAGACATTACCTACACATTAAAATATATACAATAATGAGAGTGATTTTGTTTAGAAATACATTTGTGTTACAGATTTATAAAGAAATCATGGAGGTATAAACAGAAATACATAAAGTCCCTGAAATCCACAACCAACTGCTTTACAGCTTAGTTACAACCAAAATAATGAATGTGTAAAAATGACAACTTGCTTAACAAAGCTGCTTGTCACAAATGCAAGCATTCTTTATATATAAAAAACCCCTTAAGTCAAAAGGGTTTGACACGTAAGAATGAAACATGGTAGCATGGTCTGGAGTGCTGATACTGTGTGAAGAGATCTCTGAGGTTTGAAGAACACAATGTAAATATCTTTATAAGACTGCACAGTTGACAGACTCACTATCCGTGTGTCTATTTACATAATAAAACATACACCTACAACACACATTTTCTGAATACAAGCTACATCATAAGCAATAGTTCTAACCGTCTCAGGTAAATAATTACTGATCAGCCTATTTCAAATGTGCATTAGTCTCAAGCATAGCAACTTTAAAAAATATGGATACTTATAATTTATATGGTCTTGGGCTCTCAAATCCTTTGTCTCCTTTCTTCCTATTCATCCTGAACAGCAGCACTAAACACACACTGCTGACCGTCACACTGGCATCAACATCATCCTCACTTGATGGGTCCTTTGATTTTTCCTTGTGCCAGGTTGTATTTGATCACTCATCTCCCCAGTGGATCTGTGACTCCCCACAGTTAGGCATCTTCAGCTCGAATGAGCACCATAGTTATAGCACAAACAACAGTCAAGTCTTTCTACATAACCTCGTGTGAGTGCAGCACACAACTCTGCTCCTCACTGGGGGTACGATACCAGTTCAGAGGCGCTGCGTTGCTTCCTCTCCGCAGAAGCTGCGTAAATCAACCGGCTCAACGGGCAAGTGGACGTGGGAGCTACTTAACAGGAAGGTCACGACCAGGGCGGCTGGGCAGGCACAGCCGAAGGGTCCCCGCTCTTGGGACAGCCGGCTGGGGCAGCGCTCTCCACTGACAGGTGGGAGAGACGGTGCCGGGGGGCAAGTAGGCCGGGAGGGGGAGCGCAGGGGGTGCCGCAGAGCCCCCCGTGGCCCAGCCTTATCGTCGCTGCGGACGCGGGCGCTGCTCCGGGAGGCGGCTGGGCTGGGAGCTCATGCGGTTCCTTCTCGTCCGGGGCAGTCGGCTGGGCCTGGCCGGCATGGAGGGCAAGGGCGGCCCAGCGGCACGGCGCGGGCTCCTCAGGC